AGATGTTAGGATTGTTTGTTTGTTAATTGTGTCAAATGTAAAATTATTAAATTGAGGAGGGGTGTTGAGTGCAATTTAATATTTGCCACATGTCTGTTTTTAATGTTATACTTCAATGATGAATACCAGATGGTTAAATTGTTAAATGTGTTGTTAAAAACAATAATAGTTTTAATCTATGTCTTCTTTAGTTGGTTCAATTAAAAAGTGTTGAGTTTAATAATTCAGTTTGCCCTTTTATTTTATTGAGCTAGGTATTTTAATTTAGTGTCCAGGGAAACCACATATTTACATACTTGATACAATTCTATGTTATCTGCAAAAACAGTTTCGTACATAAAACATATGACCACTACTAAATGTATCGTTCAAGACCAACTGTGTGGAAGTACCTACTTGAGATTATTTTTTTTTTTATCCGTTTAGACGCATTTGCTACGGCTATTACATAATATTTTAATACTGAAATCGAACTACTGAAGATTCCTATTAAAAATTAAGTTTCACACCAACATAAACATAATAGAAGAACAATAAGAATAATGAGAATAATAAGAATAAGAAGAACATGGAATAGAAGTGCGTTGTAGCGGTTCCCGGGAATATTGCGTGTTTTCGTATAATTCTTGAAGGCTGCATATTCCCACAAAACCACGCAACTAACTCTGTGTCGCTTGCCTGTTTGTATTCATGTTTTATTGCAATTCTTAAATTGATTCAATGGTGTTGGGGTTGTACCCGGCAATTGTCAGCCACAATAAAAGCGTTGTATGCGGTAGTTTAGTCCAGTAGAAGTGATTCAGAAAATAAGATTGTGTGTCGTTTACGGTTATGTAGGAAATGTACATAATGATTTGTATCTGTAATGAACTTAGTCCTTATTTTTTTTTGTATTACGTATTTGAATTTTCCTGTGGATTAACACCTAAGGTGAACATCAGACTACCATATCAATGTCAAATAGTCAATTTAAATCTTTAATCACAAGCCTTAAAAGTGCTAATTGCTGATAATCGCAGTGTTTTTAAGGTAGCCTGTATATTTTATAATCACATCCACCCACGATAGACTAATATTTATTGTTGATTTTACATTAAAAATAATGTCCTTTAAATTCGGCAAAATATGGCGAAAGTGATTAGTAGTTAACAAAACAGGTCATAAATTCGATTAGTTATACATTTTATGTTTACACTAAAATTAAATTAATTTCATACATATTTAAATATCCGGCACTAGACATTCAACTTCAAGAGATAGTTAAATGTATTTTGATTTTTAAAAAATTGTTGGTAAGCAACTACTGCTTCTATGATACGAGTATATGCTACACACGAGGCTCCAGGTTTGGCAATTTTAGTATAGTTATTTCATTCGGTGTAATAATTCAGAGTATGATATGAAATTTTAGTATCATAAATCACGGAGATAAAATTACTATTCTGACCCAACTAGGCCAATTTGCGTTTATGTCAAGACGTACCATTGTATGATGTTTTAATTTATTAAAAGCATTAAATTCAAGTTTCTTAGTAGTTAATTTTGAATGATTACTGTATAGTCAAAACTATATTAGTACACTACGAGAGCTCGCCCCGTGGTCAAAAACTCGACCAAAAGTATGTATTGTTCAAACTTCTATATTTTCACCCCAAGTTGTAAATAAAACATTTGACTTTATTTCTTCCATTTGTTTTGGTTTTTGTTTACATTTCGTTGTTTTTTCGTCACCAACATGGCAACCCATAAGGCCCATGATATTATTTTATTTTAAAATTCATTTTTTCTGCTTATTTTTTAACCTATATAAATTTATAAAGAGATCTGCACGTCTAAAGGAAAATAGCTTTCATTTGGTACCAACCGCGTGTAATTCGGTCCAACAGTACGGTCAGGGTAGCTGTCATAAGTTTTGCAAACGTTTTTTAGTATATAAGATTAGTTGTTATTTTATTGTACAATGATTTACTGCAGTTTTGTATCACTAATGCTATGGTAAGTTTTTTTCCTAGGACGCTAGGCACGAGCCCAGAATTGTTTTTTGCATTACTTCAGGAACTAGAGTTGCGGCAATATCACTTCGATAAAATGCATTGGTGATTTAGCGGGATTTGAACCCGGGACCGAAGTCTTGCGCTCTAACCACTTAACCTCCTTATTGTTATAGTAAGTAGGCATCGGGGACTCGTAACGGATTTAGCCCTCCAAATCCACCTGACTTACTCATAGACACATTGAAGAACTTGTCACATTTTGACTTGACGCCAGCTTACCGCAGCGACGTGGACAGGCTCGCAAATACTGAGAGCGTGTCGCCGCGCGGACGACAGACAGTTCTGCGAACGACTAAGTGACTAGCATTGTCCGTGACGCTATTTTGAAACTCTCCTTTGTTCTTTTGATTCTCACTGATAAAGCTTTCAGGCAAGCAGTCTATTAGTCACCGACAGGAAATACACTTGACTTTGGAAAGCAGGATTAGAACATTTGCGACTATTTTAGAAACCTTGTTAATTCTGGTGGGGTTGAAGTTGTGTTTATCGTTGACAATTATTTTGCTCGGAATGAATTTGCCTTCTTTAGTTGTAATTGTGTTTCGCAGAGGACAAGTAAATTTCCTATTCATTATAGTTCGCAACTTAGGGTCAATCCTATGTGTTATTTGTTTATGGACTACACAAACTATTCGACAAATGATTGTTGCATATATTTTTAATATATGAATAAATTAATAAAATAAAATATTGGCTTAATGTAAGGGGAAGTGATATAGATTGAATATATGCTTAAACGATTTGTAGGAATGTATAATTATGTTTTAACCTCTATACTTTAATTTACAACATTACAAAATAGGCCTAAATACTTTAGGACTTAAAGAGTTTAACTAAGACTATACAATGAAAATATAGGATAAATAAATTTAACGCAATCTATGACAATACAAAAATTACAAATTACGAATTTGTATCTACAAATTTCTTTGAATTAAATCAAGCAAAGAATTTCATTTCCCCAAAACAGAACAACATTCTAAATCATCGTAATTGAATTAAGTCGGATATATTATAAAATATCAGTATAAGATACATAGACATTAAAGTAATCAAACACAATGTAAACGAAGCTAATGAATACGATTGCAGTTAAGTATCAAAACAAATCAATTCAAATTGAAACGAAAATTACCCATAACGGTGATTATAAACGGGCGAAACGAAACTAATAAACACTCATACCACAGTCATTACCATAAAATAATTGAATTGGCCTCTTGAAAATTCAATTAAGTCCATCGCAGTTGGCGCGATTTTGAACGTTAGCACTGTGGTGAGACTACTGCTAAATGTTCAATTATTAGTGAAATAACCTCGAATAAAATAAAGCTTCTCTTTATTAACATCTCAAACTAATTATTTGCATAATTATTATGAGTTCCAATTATCGTAATTTTTCAACACAAAGAGCTGATAGAAAAACTCGTTTGGTTTGAAAATATGCATTTAAAAGCTTGTATTTAGTATATACATATATAGCTGAGCGAAATTGTGAAGAAATGTGTAATTTTTTTAAATGGACCAAGCTTCCCTTTCTCATAGTGCTCTTAGTAAATGGTTCTGATCAGGGAAGCGGCATATTTTGGTAAGTTACTCCATTCTACTTCTACACCAACCCTATTCATATTCAGCAGAAAATACGAACAGAAAATATATCACTGGCTCGGCGAAGTGATAAAATGGTATTTTAATCCAGAAAATACCGTTAATCTGTGACAAATATTGAAATACAGTATGGGAAATCTATAAAACTTATATATATTCCCAATTATGTTTCGTGTATAAGAGTATGCAAATGATAAAAACAGATTTATGTGATTTAAATTATATGTTTCGAAAGGGCTTTAAAATCCTTATGTTTTGTTTTTCCACGTGGAAGTTTTAAAGTAAACCCACCACACACAATGACAATAACAATGCCTTATGATTGATTATTTTACATAAATTACGCTGGATATTGTTTTTTGTTTGTAAATAAAGCCTTATTAAAAGTATCTAGAAAGTGCGTATTACCAACATACTTTAATAAAAGTTTCGACAAAATGTAGGAGGATTATGATTATGTAAAAAATTCTACTTTTTAATAACCATTAAAAAGTTTACAAATATTAAATTGGCTTATCAACGCGACTATATTTTTTGTTTATCGTCTCTTAAGAAAGGATTGTATATTTAATATCAATTGATCCTTTAAAAAACACATTGTCAGCATACGTAATAGTTTGTCATGCGTATTTGTCATACAATTGTCATACGTTAATATAAAGCCCATCACCTTTTAGATTTTTGAAAAAAACTATCATAACTTTCGTCATCATAACAAAAATATCTAATGCAAGTTGCACACATAGAACCAACACTGATATAACTTACAAAAGATATAAAATTATAGGATATAATAATACTTTTAACATATATTTGTTCATTATAGGTACATAAAGCCATTGTCTAGTATAGTTTAAATTATAAGATTCGAACATAAGTTTCAAACACAATTCCACATATGAAATACATATCAGCAAGTTACATACCAAAACTTGACTGAAACAATCAAACCAATACAGTATCCCCATATGAAGGTAATTTATTCATAACACAACAAAGGGCCAACGGGACTCAGTGCGTGTTTCTCATACATAACAAATGCGCTAATACCCCGGAGAAATCCAGTGGGATGTAATCATTATTAAATCGGCGGTATTTATTTTGTATCGTGAACGTAACCAGTCGTGCGAAGATTCGGTCGGATTGACCTCCGCCGCGGGCGAAGCCTGGAGCTGGAACGCCGAAACTGTACGACGCGGAGCGGAGCATTGTTGGGTGGGGCAGTAGGGGAGGTTGTGTGGGGGAGGGGGAAACGCGAGTCCAGTTCGGAACGCGCTATCAGCTGAGCGGAGCCGGAGACCTCCAGTTGCCTGCGTGCGCTAGAACAAGACAGTTGAGGTTATGTTGCTTTTCCAACCGGCTTTGATACGTATTCGTGTTCGGATTTGACGTATGTATTCCACCCGGTGTGGAGAGTGATGACCTATTTGAATTAGTGGATTTCGTTCGGATAAAAGTGAAGTGATCAAATTTGTAATGAAGCCAACAGGAGCTGCTGTGATCGCTTTGGTTAATTTGTTCTACTTGATCAAAGGTTTGTAATTTAAATTGTGTTTATGTTTGTTTTAAATACTATGTATACGTAAGTAATAATGTATATTATTTTAATAAATAACCTTACACCATTCTACTTAGCTTTGTGGCAAATTCAACGATCACCAATCGTTTTTATTTTAACATATGCGTTAAAAAACCTATTTTCACCAGTTTGTTGGATCATGGCGTTTGTTGAATTTGTTTGGCTTCTTGGTTGACATGGGAAATTAAAAAATAATCTGCATCTTGACGTTAGTCGTAATGCAGTTTTCAATATTACTAAGCACTTTTGGATGTCAATCTTCATTTACTGATACATTCCATTTCATGTCATATGATTCGAGATTCGTTTAGATGGTCATAATGATCCACTGCACAATATCACACACACATCAACAGAAAGAGCATATATTATGGCCTTCGTAAATTAACGTAGCGTTTCCTGGAATTCCGTGTAAAATTTATCATATAAAGAGCTTGTAAACAAACATTTATAATTTTGAACAGCAGTGAATTAATTAAGCTTATTAATCGTTAGATATTCCGAGTATTTGCAAATTATTTAAATTTGTCAGGATAAAAATACCTAGTCATTAGAATTTCATTAAAAATACGAAATTATTAATACGCAGTTAACTTATAACTTATGCAATTATATTTTATATTTACTTGCAAAAAAAAACTTAAACAAATAGCATGAAACAGCAGCAGCAGCTATAATATAATTAAAAAGCTAATTGTATCCAAGCAATAAGTAGGTAATTGAATTTTCAATGCTTGTCGTCTTGTACTTGAGCTCGGAGGCAAACTGGTATTCATAATACTTATGGGATTGTCAATTTTAAGTAACCTACAATAATTAATTAAAAATAAATAAATCAAAATAAAACATTTCATAACCTTAGTGTAGTTTTAATCGTACTTTTCATGATTAAAAGTTTATATTATTCATTAAAAATTTAAATGTGGTGTGAAAACTAAATTAGCAATAACAAACCATTATAGACAAACCAGTTTCGTTCACAAATTGAAAAGTAATAGCATTATGTCACTACAAATACAGAAGATTAATTCATTGTTAGGGAATAGTTATCATTGTTGCTCTAGCATAGTAAGACTCAACCAAATTTATAATAAAATATGCCTAGTTTGATAAAAACAACAATAGTATCCTAAACCAACATTTAAACACTTTTAACTGTGGCAACCAACTAGGTAACTACCTGATTGAAGTGAAATCATATTTCTGTGTTAAGCCAATATAACCACAGAGCAGAGAAAAAAATGTAATCAGTATGTATAACTAATTTGATGTGAATTGCCACAAACTACATGCAGTACTTGTAAAGTGAAATACTTAGTCGATTAAACATTTTAAAAAGTGATAACGATAAAAAATACGTGTTCTGAGGACCTTAACTAATTAATTTTAACGATACGGTAAAATGTATCAATGAATTTTGAAAACAATTAAATAAACAAATACTAGGGTAGGGCTCAGATTTGTATAAATTGTATAGCTAAATTCTATGAGTTTGGTCATTGTTATCTCTATTGTACGGGTTAGGTTAGGTATTAACAATCAAGGTACATTAATTTATTATAGACTGTAAAAACCACTATGACCATTTTGTAAACATTCAGATAAAGTATTCCTGCAAGTTCTTGTATTTATTTAGTTATAATAACTTATATTTTACAATAATTTAATTTCCCTACTTGACACGAGGTTCAAACAACATTAACTTATATTTGTTTTGATTAAAACCTACAACAATTCAAAGGGGATTAGTAACAAGCAAAACATATGTTTTGTTTATATATTTATAACTTTCGTTATGTTAGTTAGAGTTAGTTGTTCTAAAAGCTACTCCATACTAATATGTCCATAATATCCTAGTATTTGTAAAAGCAATCATCAAAAATACTTTCAAAGTTGTAGCATCCCATAAGACAACGTGAAACCCATCAAAGTATGATAAAAGTACGATACCTTAGTTAATCAACATAAACATTATCAACCATACCAATTTAAAGGGTTTGTTTAAACTAATATAAATTAGTGTTCCCAAGTTAGGTATTTATCATAACAATATTCTTATTTATTGGTATTAATTATTATCGTATTCATTAATTTATTGTGTGTAATACTGCAAAGCACAGTTTTATAAATATGAATTAGTAAATCATATGATATAGTGTACCATTGTTGACAAAAGACTAAAAACATTTAATAATCTTTCATTAAAATATAAAATTCTGATTTCATATACTTTCATTAAAATATTTTGGACAATTTAATATACAAGTACCTTTTGAAAGTAAAAAGAATGTTGAGTCTTTAAATTACCTATTTTTTCCATGTTACAAGCCTAGTTTGATTGTGTTATCCTACTGCTAACATTATCTCAGTTTGTAAGTAAACAGGGCTTATTCGTTTCCTTATTGACGTTGTTGTGTGGACCAAAGCTGTTTTCACGCCTTTAAATTGTTATTTCAAAGCGATATCATCTTGAGATAACGTAAGACGATGATGACTTGTTAAATATTGTCTTTGAAGATTGTTGTTGTCAATTATCGGTTAAGATACGGGTTAGTGTTCCTTTTTCTTAAGCATCGCTAAGGTAACAATTGTTAAGGCTACATGTTAAAATTCTCAGTATGTGAAAATGGCATAGTTAAGTGTTGTTGGTAAAACATTGACTTTGTTATTGGCCTACGTAAATGTTTCAATTTATGTTTTGTTGGGAAGGAAATTAACTGACATCAAGCACTGCGAATCCCAACGTATTATACGTCAATTTTCTTATATAAATTACAATTATTAATGTCTAAACTTTCGTTCATAATCTTGTTATTATATTAATTGTTCGATTAGAATAATAAGATGAGTTAGAGGCTACAGTATTAACGCAGGACTAAAACCAAGGTTGTGATGAGTCGTTCCCAATGCCGCTTACTTACGAGAAGGTCTATGTTTATATTGCTCCGGCTCACTCCTTTTCCTAATGCCATACACAAAATCTAATTGTATTTAATCCTATACTAGACATTTCTCCTATAACAAGACATTGGGCCTGTTCAGACTATTAAGTTCAAGGTTTGAAAACACCGTTGGACTTTTACAAAATTACAAATTTATATTTAACATTCACTAATTAATAAGTTTTTCAACAAAAAAATCCGTAAATTTATCGTTCTTTCAGTTTATTATTTTTTGTGTTCTTGATTTGTACACCGAAACCATTTAGACATACACCCATCACGTATATAAGAAAATTTAGTTATCTTTGGTCAATGGCCCTACGATAGGCTTTTTAATCTGCTAAGACAGGCAAATTCAAGGTGAGAAATGACCATCGACCTTTTGAATATTTTCTTAGCATTACGCTTAACTATCACTAAATATTTTTTTTTTCCATAAATATATCCGAATGTGAGAGTTTTAGATCCTTTGTCGTCTCTAATTTGTCCACAACACCCATTATAGCGTAGGCCTACTTTCCACCAATCTCGCCGAGGGCTAATGGGTAATGGGTAGTCATGGGTTTGTTGACCCAATGGGTAATTAAACACAGTAAACAGTCGGCCATGATGGGTTACTGTCGAGTGCATCCACTACTGGCGCGTGACAAGCTTTTTATCGACAAGAATGAAATCTTCAATACTCGCTGCCGTTCCGCTCGAAGTAGCTCGCAGATTTATTTACTTTCAACAGATAAGAGCCGCCCAGCGCAACTATATTTCAGGATTGTATCTAACAGTTGTAGGTGGTGGGAGGATGATTGCAATTATGTAAGTCACGGAAAGTATAAAAATCCCGCTTAGTTTTAGTTGCCTTCGGTTTAAAAAGTTAAATGTTGTACAGGAGCTTTAATTTCAGTTTCATTGAAGGTTCCCCGATTCAATGGCTAAATATTTAAGAGTTTTTGGGTGTGTGCAACCAAATTTGCCACACATATGGTATTAGGTTTTGATATATGTATATGTGAATAAGAGCAACAATAAATTTCGGCCAATGGATGACGATGAGAATGACAAAATTATCGAGATGTTAGCCTATTATACCTTAGATCAGGAAAATTTGGTCATAAGATAGTGAATTTGACCTAGTGACGTATTGCATTTAGTTGTCGTGCAAAATGGCTTAGGTTTCTCTTGTCGATGTTAATAATCTAAGTAATTTACCAAAACCATTCTGTAAGCGGGGGAGCGAGCTGGTGGTTAGAGCCAAGGCCACACTATACTACCTACCTATGTAGTATAGTGTGGCCTTGTTAGAGCGCGGGACTCCGGTTCCTAAGATCTCGGGTTAAAATCCGGCCAAATCACCAATGGATTTTATCTAAGTGATAATGCCGTAACCCCTAGGTCTAGCCTGAAGTAATGTGGAAAAACAATTCCGGGCTCGTGCCTAGAATCCTAGGACAAAAAAAAATCTGAAAAACATTTCACGATAACTAAATACAGTAAAACATTGTTCTTTGTTACAGGAACACTTGAATGTGTAGCTAATTATTGATATCGAGCCAAGAATGCCTTTTCGAAATAAAATCATAAACCTTACTGTCGTTTAGTAAATTGTATTTCTGCATTTATTTAAATCTGTGAAGCCAGTTGGACATTTTATAGAAATACTATGAAATTTTTACCTGTATGAAAAAAGAAATGATATTTTGTACATGTAAATAACATATAACTAATAACATGGTACTTAATAAAAAGACTAACAATATCACCATGAGTACACTTACCATAAGTTCGCAATAATCTCTACGTATCGTGAGTTTTCTAATGGATTCCACCAACAAAACATTTATTTAAGGCTCACATAAGACGTTATATTTCACGAGGAAAGGAAAAATGTCACCATTTCACCTGCGTGCGTGGAGGCGTCTCATGAAAAATGTATTGGAAATCTTATACATATGTTGCCACCACACCTTGTGCTGCATTTATCATGAAACTGGTATAAGACTTGGGTTATGTAACTAGTTA